CCCCCCCCCGCGAGAAATCCCTCCCCCAGCTGTCCCAGACGGCGTGCTACCGCTGGCCTGGTCTCCTGCTGCCTCCGTCGAAGCATTGCCGCTGCCGGGTTGTCGGCCCGCCGTGGGTGACCGCGGTACCGGCGGAGCCATCAACGACGACGCCAGCGTCTCCTCCCGAGCATAGCCCACCCTCCTCACCGCCCTCTTCTTCCGAACAACGCCGGCCGAGGGTTTCCAAGAGGGCACATCGTCAGCAGCAGGCTGCTTGTCCGCTCCTTCCTGGGCAGCGGTGGCGGTGGCGGCAAGGCCACCCGCCTGCGCCGTCGTAGACGATGAAGCGGAAGGAGAAGAGACGTCGCTCGCAAGGCCGGACGAGACAGCGGGCTGCTGATCGACGTCTCCCGGCGTCTGTCCGGCAATACCCCCGACTTCTGCCGATTCCTTGCCGTCGGAGGGTGCCGGCAACACCACATTGCCGGTCGCTGCCAGCGGAGAGGACGATGACACCAGGGACGGCGCAGCCTCGGCGGCAACTCTACTCTCAGTCGCAGGGCCCCCTCCGCCTCCCTCCGACAAGAACGAAAACGAAGACGGCGTGGTCTTCCCGGCAGCATCCCCAGGGATGCTGACGGTTTCGTCCTGGCCTTCACCACTTTCCCCGGCGGCGGGGGACTCTTCGGTCAGGAACGAAAACGCCGACATCCCCTGGCCTCCCCCTCCTGCTGAGGGTGGGCTGCCTCCTACTGGTGTTGCCTTGTCGCTAGCCGCGGCGGGCTCTGCCATGAACTGAAAGGCGGAGAAGACGCCCGCGGCAGACTCCTGCTGGAACAGATACGATAAATGTGTGCGGAGAGAGCGAGGAAGGGACAGGCCATCAAGATCGGTAGCAGCTATGACATGTAATGCGAGAACTGGTTCTCTAATACGACAAATGGTTCTCCGGGACCTGATCTAGGAGACGAAGTCGGTGAGCAACTTTTCACGATGGGCAAGAACCATGATCGGTTGCCAAATGACCGCGCAAACAGAAACAAGCACAAACGCGTGAAAGCCACATACTGCGCCCAGCTCACCACCCGGAACACGAGTCCTCAAACATCATAATATGGACGTAGGCAGCAGCGCCAAACGCTTGAGACACTAACCTTAACCCTAGGCAATCATCATTGCCGGGTGGCAGAAGACGGCACACACAGACGCACATACCCTCTCCCCACCTGGAACACGATTCCTCCAAATATCAAAACTTTAATCAACAAAGGTGTCGAACGCGGAAGACACTGCAGCGCCGGAGCCGGACTTTGCCAGCGGCTCTTCGGAACTACCGCTGCTGCCTGTATTACGACATGCGCAGCACGCGTTGCTTCTACCGGCTCTTGGGCACAACCGCTGCTGCTACTTGTTTCAAGACATGCGCAGCACCCGTCGCCTCTGGCGCTCTAAGGAATAACCGCTACATTTTCTCGAGACGTGCGCTGCACGCGTCGCTTGCAACGAAGGGGCACCTACCGAGTCTGCGGGGGGCTTCATGGGAGAAGGCTTGGGCTCCACTGCTGGCGGTTTAACTTCCAAGTCGTCGAAAAGCGACTCCTCTAACAACAACGCGACACACGAAACGAACAAGCACAGAGACACGCACCAAGGAGAGCAGCCGAGATGAGTTCGGTTTGCGGGGGAAAACGGACATGGGCATGCCTTGACTTGTTGACAACTCATTTGTCTCCGAAACGCGATGCCTCGAGCTCAGAGAACGAACGCCTTCTTTTGTCACGTACAACTCCAGCGGCAGCTTGTGGGAGATGAAAACATGGCGTCGTTTCGCGCCAAACGCTGCATGCGTTGGGTGGGACCAAAGTTGGCTTCATGTTCGGAAAGAGAGTACGCACAGCCGTGCTGCGCCCTCTCTAGAGTCTGAGAACGTTATTTTTCCTCAAAAGAAAAAAAAATGTTTCAGGATTCCATGTGTGTGTAGACTATGTCTCGTTTCCCTGTCCCATGCCTCTAGCATAGTCTTCAACGGCTACCGCGGTAGTCTACGCTGTCCTCCGAAGGTTGCAGGTCACGCTTTCGCACTCTCCCACACTCGTTTTGAACCACAGAACATCCATGTCCTAACAAACGCACTTACAACCGGGAATATTTCCTTAACCGGATAGAAGCCTCCCACGCTCTCGCGCAACACACGTACGCGCTGTAACGCCATACAGTAGTCTGTTCTAGCTGCTGTTGCTGCTGCTGCTGCGGCGGCTGCGGCTGCTGTTTCGACTGCTCCACACACCAGAGATTCAACCCCTGTTCTCTATCGAGAAGCCTCCGGCATGCATGACGAACGATAGGTTTGGCTGTTCAGCAAGCATAGTCAACAACACCCAAAGCAAAGCAACATCACAAGAGCTTAAAAGCACTCCTAACACATCCCGTTCCCTCTCTTTAAGCCTCTCACCAGCAGAGGCATGGGTGGGCTCGAGCTGGAAGAAGCCGCCTCCATCCTGATGTGCGGAGGAAGAACCACCGCCAGGTGCGGTCTTGTTCGGTGTTCCCTTTCGGGCCGCTTGCTCCTGCCCCGATGGGTTCCCCCGTCTACCCCCAGTGGTGCCAGTGTCTCCGTACTCGCCGGCAACGGTCGTCCCGAACAAGGAGCGGAACATCGTCGAGTGTGTCGTGGGAGAGCGAGCACAAATTGAATACTGCTGTCGCAAATGTTCCGCGCCGCAGGGGGTGTGAGGCGGAGCGAGGGGGGGCACAGCAAGTAATATATGGGGGCTCCGTGTTTCACAAGAGGTTGCGCCGCTGCCGCCGATTGGTGCTGCTGGTCACCGCACGACACCGGCTGTTGTTCACACCTTTGTGGGGAGACAATAGGGGTGTGGAACTCAACGGAGAGAGGTGCCAAATACAGAGGTGAGGAATTTTCGTGGTGGACATTCAGCGGAGGTTAAAGAAAGCCCCAACATCTGGCTTTGACTCGCATGTTGTTTTGGTTGATGGACTGCTGTAAAAAGTGCGGCTGTTTCGATTGGTACACTTGTCTGGTGGGACGCCTCTCGTGCTTGGGTCCTTTCGTCTCTGCGTATCGGTCTTGCATGCACCGTTTTACGGGATCCTTCACGGTTGCCCTCCAATGATGCATTAGACACGCTTCTGTATCCCCTTTCGACAACGGTGATGGTGCGCATTTTGGCAACCATAGTACACTCACCGACACAGCACTCGCACAACAAGCAATGCCCAGTTTGAACGTGGCAGCATCATAAGAGTCCCAAGAGTCCCAGTAGGTGCCCGCGAGGATAGCCCAGAGACTACCAACAGTAGGGATGGTGCTCTACACTACCATCGTCGTGGATTGTCACTAATGCTTTTCATCGGGCGCACACAGCCATGCACAACTGCCGCATTACGGGAGGTAAAGATTGTAACACCCCGCCACCGCCGGCTGCGTAGAATGGGAGAGGTTCAACATCATGCGGCGGGAGTGTGCAGCAGCATGTACACGATGCCCGCCGATTGTCACAATAGCGGATAACAAGTAGGCTGGGGTTTGGCCTACTGTTTCCCTCCCACCAACAGTACACCAACATGTGCATGAGGGGCAGTTCTGGTTGTGCGAAGCTTGGGGAGGGGATGTGCCGTGTCGGTATGTCATCAAACCAACAGGTAGCATGCCGGTGCCTGTCAGCCTCCCTCCTGTGTAAAAACTAGTGAAAAGACTTCTACTTCATACAATGAACGGCCTCCGATACAGCCCACTTGACCGCGATCTCGAGGGATTTGCTAGAAAAGAATAATTTGATGGGTAAATCGTGCGCTTTGAGGACGACGCACTTTGTAAGCTTAAAGCAAACCCTGCGTGTATTTTGTTTGTACTCCCAACAGGAATCATGTTCATCACCCGCACATTGTAGCATAACAACACTGCTGTGTGGTAGACACAGAATGGGTAGTCTTTCTGTGTGTTGGTGTACCTCGACACATATGTTGTTCCAAAAAAAAACAACAAAAAGAGTAAAAATCGCATCGCAGCTCGACCAGTCTAGTCGGTGTGGACCCCTCCTCGTCAATTCTGTAAAGCAGTGCACTTGTTCTAGCGACCATCCACAACGCATCCCGTCCGGAATGAAGCAGAGGACTCCTGATGGGAAATGGTTGTTCTAATTTGGCACAAGAGTCTTCACAGCAGGCGGCTCCCGCGCACAAACTTGAAGATCATGCTTTCCTTCATGAGAGGAAAACGTTACAGTTTTTTCAGTGAAGGATTGAAAATATTGCTTACCCTGTACTCTGATTATCCCATATTCTGTTGCAGTCACCACCTGTGTACATACGTAAAAGCAGTGCAAGCGTGCCGTGTTTGGGTGTTTCTGCAAAGAGCATGGAAAACCAGAGGCGATCGACAAACGTGACGAATTTCCGTGCTGCGGCTATGCAGCTGCTGAAACATACCACACTATAACCTAAAACCAAAACCATAGTATCTGACACGCTGGGTTTGACGCGACGTGCATGAATTACATGTTCACCCGTTTTCTGTCGTTCCACGTTCATGTTTGACCTTGACCTGAGCCGTTTTTGTGTCGGTGCCGCTCCAATCGTGTCTTGATCTCGCCAGACATTGAAGGATCGCTTCGCATGCTCAAAAAGCAAACCAGGGAGAGCGAGAACTTCCTCCTGCGGGCAGCACATCCAAGCACCACGCACGAGTACTACGTGCACGTGCTCCGGAGGCCGACAAGCCCAAACCTGGAGGCGATACAGCAGCAGTGCGTCCAACACGAGCTTTTTGTTTCTCCCACGAAGGAGGCTGGAGGAGGACGAGTGACGAGAGAGCATGAAGCCTTGGTTTTAACACTGGCCATTTTTGGTGACAATTTACGGCGGGAATCGCGTGCTGTCTCTCACTCTGGTGGGGGGATATTCGGTGACAAGTTACGGAGGGGATTGTTGCTGACTCACGCGTGACATATTCTGGTGGCGGCATACCTCGGCTCTGGTCACGACCAAGAGAGGGGCTGCAGGGCCAGCGGTTGGGCGAGGTGGTCACCAGCGCCGAGGCCAACCCCGTGTACGCAGCAGCGGCAGCGAGAGAGGAATAGATAAATGTCACACGGCGGCAGGCGGAGTGGTGGAGGAGGCCCGCGCATCAGCTACACCTCCAGAAGCGCTCCCATTCCCATCAACGGCCAGGTGAGGCAGGCCTGTTCAGTGCTTTCGTGTGTGATTGGCTTGTTTTTCACTCTACATTCGCAAAAAGTGTACTCTTCATCTTTTCCTGTGGTTGAGCGGAGGCGTTTGGTTGGTTGCTCCCCCTTTTTCTGATCCATGGTGGGTATGCCTGGGCGGATGTGGATGCCCAGAGCAGCCACGTATGCCCTAAGACACACTACGTGTGTGCGTTTTGTTTTAGGCCTCCGATCGCCCCTCATTTTTTCGTGTGAATTTTATTCACGTGTATGCCCGTACTTCCCTCTTGTAGAAGCTCGGCGAAAGCTCGCCCCTCAACTCTGTATCGAAGTACAATTACTTTCTCTGTTGAACCCTCTCCGAAAACCCTGAGTATCTCGCCGCTTTTTCGGACGCCACTGAGTGTATCGTGCGCAGACCCCGGAGAGGCCTGCCCCAATTTACCTGCAGGAGAAAAAAGGCCTTTGCACCCGCGCATGCAGGTAGCAACAATTCCCTCCTATCCTTTTCTCGTCCATTTTTTTTTTTAAGAATCGTGGGGGCGGTGAGCCTTCCCCAAGAAGACACCCGGCCGCCCAGGAACCGGAACCACACTCGGCCTACCCCGACCTCGCCGATGTCGGCTTCGAGCCTGATCTCGAGCTCGAAGGCCGGGACGACAGCGAAGAGGACTTTGACACCAACAAAGACGACAACGGCAGCGGCGGCGCCGAAGGTGCGAGCGGCAACATAAGCGGCCGTTACGCGCCCTCGCCGCGGACAGGGGCCGGCGGCAACGGCGGCATCGTTTTCGTCTCCCCGGCGTTCAGCCCGTCCCCCGTCCGTGGCCCGCACGGGGGAGGCAGCGGCGACGGGGAGGCGTGGCGAGATGCCCGCGCGTGCTGCAACGATAGCGACGACTGGGCTATCGGAGGGGGTCTCGACGAAGGACCGGAGATGGGCGACGACCGTGATTGTACAGGGCGGGGGCGGGGCGGGAGTTCCGCCAGAGGCGACGGGATCCTGACGGGCGGAGGCCGGCTTTCGCGCGGAAACGGCAGCGGCGCCATATGTATCGGGGGAGGAGGCAGCAGCTGCAGCTTGGGTCATGCCGGCTGGGTGACCACCACAGAGGAGCTGCGGGGGGACGGGGGCGGGAACTGCTTCGGAGGGGAAGACCTCGCGCTGGGAAAATCGCTGGAGCACGATCATGGGTTCTTCAACCACAAAGAAGACGCCCTCTACCGGAAAGTTGAGGCGAGGAGCACTAAGAGCTCTAAGAACAAGGGCCTGGGGAGGGGCGGCAGCAGCGGGAGCTTGGCGGGAAGGGGCGGCGGGACCGGCGGTGGGGCGGGGTTGGGGGGGCGCAACGGAAGGAAGAGCGGCGGCAGCAGCTTGTTGAAGATTAGCGATAGCGCCAGCACTTCTAGCAGCGTGGGCGGGGGTTTTGACGGCGCGGGCGGCAAGAAAGGAAGCGGCAACAAGATTAACAGGTCGGCTTCGGCGAGCGGGGGAAAGAAGGACACCCTGAAGGCGGGGCTTGACTTCGACGCTCTGGCAGGTGGGTGAGGAGCTCGTAGAAGGACGTCGATCGAACCGCCAAGTTGCGTTCGTCGGTGTGCACTGTTTTGCTGTGGTGCGGGCATCGAGAGGGGCAGGCCGTCGGTGTTCACGCCCATGGGTCGAGAGATGTCTCTCTGTGCGTGTGTAAACGATTCGCCTGGTGAAAATTTCTTGTCGGGGAAAAGACTGAGAAATGGTGGGCATTCATTGCTCTTGCTCCACGGAGACATTTCAAAGACAAAAATAACCCTGGTCTCCGTGTGTGTTTGGCTGCGACATGGTCAAGTTTTTGCTGGCACATTTGATACAATTCATTAAACGTTTCGAACGAGGGCCACGCGACATCGGCAGGCAGAAAATATAGCTCCAATCCTTGCCTACGGCGAGAAGCGAAAATTCTTCATGGGGAAGCCGCGTTGTTGTACAATCGTGACAAGACAAGCATGTCTCCCCTCGTTCTCCCCCTTTGCCCAAAAATGGCTGGCGCTCGCCACAAAGGGAGCGCGAGAAAAATCAATCGCAGCCAAAGCTTGCTCTTGGTGCCCAAGCAGCCGCTGTCTCAGGCGAACATGGCCAGCGAGAGGAAGAGTAAGACCAAGCTGCGCCGCCAGGAGGTGAAGAAGGCCATGAAGGACAAGGAGGACCGCTGCGACGTCGAGAAGACGGCGGCAGTCGGGCTGTGGCAGACCAGCGGCGGGGAGTGGACTCTCGCTCCAGATAAATCCGACGAAAGCTGGGACGCGAGAGCCAGTCTTGCTAATGGGGGCGACGGCGGGGGTCACAGCTCTTCGTGGCAAGCGCACCCGAACCGGTTGCTGCAAGCGGAGGAGGGGATACTGGGCCGCATCAAGAAACTGGCGAGTTGTTATTGGTCGAGAGTTTCCTTAGGGGTGCCAAGAGGTTTTGAGCGATTTCTCTCGTTCGCGACGAGCGTGCCTAGGCAGCAGACAGTGGTAGCCGTGGCGGCCTATCACCCGCGAATTCGAACCCTTCGCGACACGGGCTCTGAAGTATAGGTCGCACTACTGTGTGAGGAGGCTTGCGCGTGCTTGGTCGTGAGCGGCCGCAAATGGGAAGCTTGACGCTTCTCGGCGTTTTTTTTCACTGGAAGTACCTCCTCGTCACCACTGTGTTATTGTGGCCTTTGGTGTCCAGAAGCCGTCGCAGGGTTTTTCGCATTATGTAAAAATGTTGAATATAGCATACCGTGTATGACACAAGATAGCACACCCCCTGGACCAATTTTCAAAGCTCGATTACGCAACGACGAAGAGGATGTATGAACAAAACAATACATTTTTGGAAAGCTCTCGACGAGACAGCTTCAACGCCACCGTTTTCGGCGCTGTGACTCTTTCTTTTGTTGAGAAATCGAGATTTGAAAATTGGTCCAGGGGGTGTGTTATTTTGTGTCATTTACGGTACTCTCAGTGAAGTTGGGTTAGGGTTTGGGTTGGGGAATAGGGTCTACGTCTCCCCTCCCTGTTCTGTTTCCTTATTATAATGAACATCCCGCGAAGGCGGCCCTTGGTGTCACCGCCGTCTCTTCCGTGTGTAACGTGTTTGGCACTCTTCATTTTTTTTGTGCTTGCGGTCGATCGGTGCAGGCTAACCGCCCCTTGGACAGCATGGTCCGAAAGGCGCAGACGTCGTTGGCCAAGGCCCTTCGTAAGGGGGGAAAGCTGGTGCTGCTGCCGGGTCTGGAGCTGAGGTGCGGTGAATGTGCCTCCATTTGGCTCTGTGCCTTCTTTTGGCTCTGTTTTTGGGTGTTGTGAGCAAGGTTCACGGGCGGCAACGGTAAACCATGGCAGTGGTCTCAATCAATCCACCAAGCACAACCGCGACAGGACAGTTCACCAATGACGCTAGACAACAAGTCGGTTCCTATCTAAGCCACACCTTGAGGGTCCTATCCACACGATGATATATAACGAGACGACAAATCCATGACGCAACCTGCGACTCCCCCCCCGCAGGTACCCCCAGAACGTCGCGGCCCTGCTGGACGATGCGGCGCAGGCCTGGGAGCACGGCCTGCTGCATCCCCGGCGCGGGGGCAACAACATCAGCGTCGCGTCGGGGGTGAAGACACCCCTGGCATGGACCAAGTCTTGGTCCCCGATCCAGGTGATGGATCTAAGCGGGAACGACTTGGAAGGGATCGACTCGCTCCTCATGGTGGAGACGCTCCCCGGCGTGGCGGGGGGTGTCGTTTCGAAGGACGGGGGTGCTGGGAATCAGTCGGAGGCGGGGGGGCGGCGGACGGCACCGGTGTACCCCCTCGCGGGGCTCCGCGAGCTCAGGCTGAACGGAAACATGCTGCACGGTCTGCCGGGAAACATGGCGCTCGTCCTCCCCTCTCTGGAAAAGCTCGAGCTCTCAGGGAACTGGATCGAGGAGATCAGGGCGCCGCGCGCGCCGCTGCCCTCGCTGAAGCACCTCGACCTCGGGTACAACAGCCTCCTCGAGCTGCCTGCAGAGGTCTGCCTGGCGATGCCCTCCCTGGAGGTGCTGCTGCTGCCCAACAACCTGCTGGAGTGGCTCCCCCGGGAGGTGGGGGGGCTGCGGCACCTCAAGAGGCTGGACGTGGGTCGCAACCCCCTGACATCGCCCCCCGTGGAGGTGGCGGCGAGGGGGCTGGACAGCGTGAAGCGGTACTTCCGGGACGTGGAGGGCAAGCACCGGGACGACGACGACGACGACGATATGGTCGCGGAAGAGGTGCAGGTGGAGGTGCCCAACCTCGTCAAGGTCATATTCATCGGGCACGCAGACGCCGGCAAGTCGGAGGTCGTCAAGGGGCTGCTGTCCACCAAGCCCCACACCAACAACGACAGCAGCATCGTTTCGACGCCTGCCAATAGCACGCCGTCGTTATCGGCCACCAGCACGCCCCTGCAACAGCCCCGAAGGCTCGGCGCTGCCCCTAGGACACCGCCGCCGCCGCCGCCGCCGCCCGACGATGACGACGAGGGCTGGCAGGTGGTAGGCACGGGTCGGCAGCGTTCCCTCCCGGCGTCAAACCCGCCGCCGAACCGGCCCCAGCATGGACGTTCCGAACCGCCGCCGCACGGCGTTGGCACTCCGGCCTCTGGCCGGGTGAGGGGGTCGGGGACGAAGACAGCGACCGCCCGGAGCGGGGGGGGCGGTGGAGCGGCGGCCGGTGGGACGACGGGGAGGGGAGGGGAGTCGTCGGCGTCGAGGGAGAGGAGGAAGGTGAGAGGCGGCAGCTTTGTGTTGGCTCAAAAGGTAAAACGGAGAGGGGCGCACGTGTTGCTGTGCGTCGGCCGAGGGGAAAAAGCGTGCGGCTTGTTTGCCGTTGTTCTCCTGTTGGCGAAGAAGAATGAACGTAAACGTGTGTGTATCAGGTGGCGTTGAAGGGAAAGTGCGAGGGTGGGCGCAGGTCGCCCTGCTTTTTCCACGTCGCCAGCATCGGCCGGCGTGTGTGTGCGCTTGTCTGTGCGTGTGTGCCATCCCATTTACTCTAGACGTCAGTTGTTTAGCTACATGTGTGTGTTCGAGTTTTTGTTCCCAGCCAATAGACTGATTATTTCTTTATTCTGTCGGCAACTTTGGGCACGGTCGACGCTACTCATCAAAGCTTAACAAGGACACATACACATGCGTCTGCCCCCCCGACGTGCGCCAATCCTTCAGTCGCTCCTGACTCCTGATTCTCCGGAACAAGTCGCAATGGACATCCAAACGGTCACGTACACCCCAACCTCTGGCCACCGAGGCCGGAAACATTTGGGGGGCGGCGGGGTGGGGGTCGTTCGGCCTGAAGAGGGCGGTAAGGATAACAGCGACAACGCCGCGGGAGTTGCAACGCCCAAACTGTCGGGATACGGTGGTGACGGTGGCGGTGATGGAGACACGAGAAATATCACCCTCAAGCTGTGGGACTTTGGCGGCACGGAGGACTTCCACGCCGTGCACGGTCTCTTTTTCTCCGGGTGGGTGGTTTGTTGGGCGGCGTGGTTTGCCTCATCCTCCCGATCACCTTGATATCCAGGGGGGGTGAGTATTCCTGGATACATGCCCTCCCAAGTAGCAGAAATTGTACAACTTCAGCAAACACACAACAAGATTCACTGTTGACACCGACACAGAACATCAGGCTTTCATGTGCTAAGTTAGTTTTGGGGGGGGCGGCGGATTTGAAGACAAGCAAACGCATATTTTGTCCCATGCATCCTCCGTGCGCGTTCGTCACTTCCAAGTCGAACACCCGCTTTTTTAGTAACATGAAGCTTTTTTCGGCTTTCGTTGTGCAGTCGTGGTAACCCTATTACGACCTGTTTTGTCCTTCCCACAGGCGCGCCCTGTACACTGTGGTGTTCGACCTGCGGCACGTCAACAGAGACGAGATAGACGAGAGGGTGCAGTTCTGGGTCGACTGTGTCCAGACCAGGTGAACTTTTTAGCCATCCCACCGTAGACAGCCCCCCCCCCCCCCCC